TATGTCCTAAGCTTCGCCATAAACTTTGCTTTCTGCGATTTTTCATCTTAATTCAACGAACTTTATGAGTCCATTTTGCCCTTTGATCTGGAGGTCTTCCTACAGGTCGTTTACCCTCTCTTGAAATAGAGTTTGTCTCTTTAGTACAGCGATTGGCAGTTAATCGTGTATCGTGTATTGACCACTGCCGCTTTAACTTCCTCACTCAGCCAACGACATCGCGGACTCTTGTTTTTGCTCCTACCTGTTTATTCGTTTTCCTGTCTTGTTATTCCCAACATGTATCTTTCCATGCTGTGTTGAATTGTTTGCACTTTATGAATTGCTTTCAGGCTGAAGGTTTCCACTTTCTGCTGTGTGGTATTTGAGCATCTGCAGTGCCATTTTATTTGCTAGAATCACCTTGAGTTCATTATAAATGATGCTTAAGGGACTGATACTTCTTATATATTACCGCACTGATGCTTAAATATGTTCATACAGCGGAGTGTGAAATAACGCACACTCATCCAAGGCCAGATTTCCCAGCGTCATGTTTTCCGACGACTGATCAAGCTCGATCTGAACCTCGATATTATCCTAAATAAAATTTGCATTCGGAGGCTCTGTGAAAACTTTTGCGGTAAAAAATCGTATGGTTTTCTAATATATGTGCGAAAAAATATTGGACGAATTAGCTCGGAATCGGAAGAGAGTCCAAGTTTTAGACAGAAACTAATCGGATTTTGTACATAGCTCTTAGAATGATTCGTGGTTCGGGACACCAAATATAGCAGAGGTAAACAGTTTAATGCCAACGCGTTTCACTGCACAGACCGCAGCAGCATCAGGCGTGGATGGATGCTGTATTCGTTGCCCCAAATCATGAATCATTCTGACAACTATGTTTGTAACTGTGGAGCCAGAATCAAAAAATCTGAAGAATGATTTAAGGGAATTTTAATTTTCGATTTATGAACAGTTTTCGTCGAACGAATAACGGTCGATAAATGGAGGGCTAAGCTTGCATGTGAAGTTCATGTTGCCCGATGACATCGTGTGAAGATTAAGCGGATGATCAGAGGACGTTTACGTGCATGCATAAGTATGAGTG